GCCACAGCAGAGAGCTGGCCTAGAAGAGGGGCAACCGGGACAGAATCCGGCGCCCCGACCGGGACTAGAACCCGGTGTGCCGGCGCCACAAGGCGGAAGATTAGCCTAGTGAGCCACGGCGCCGGCCATGATTACTGTATTCTTATGTTTAATTCACTTTTATTATGTTTCTGCATTCTCAATAGCATATAGTAACTTTTCTGAAATTCTTCTGTTGAAGACAAAATATTTTTAAAATAATGACTGTGCAGGTAACCATGCCATCTCACTAGGAGTGTGGTGTCCAGCAGTGTAGATTGTATTCACTAACGAGCTGTTTGAAATGATTGGAGAGTCTCTGTCATGAAGGATGGAGTTGAGGGCCCTTTCCAAAAGGAGCCCGAAAGCTAATTAAAATGCCATTAGTCTACATGGTAAGCATGCGCATGATGCATCAACTAAGATACTCCCATGAATTCTTATCCACCCTGGAAGGAGCAGTAAGCATCACAATTTTGCTGTAAAAGAAATGGGATGAAGTATTTCTATATGAATTCACAGGGCACTTGGGTTTGATGCACATATTTTCTAGATTCCAGAGGATGAGACTTGACCCTTGTACTGTGTACTATCTCACAGCTATTCCAGATGTTATGTGTGAAAGGGGACACATCTTGAATCCTGGCAGTTCCAGGTAATTGACTTTGGTTGATGTTACAATCATATTCCAAAATATTTGACCGTGCCAGTTAACCAGCTCAGAAAACCTTTTGGAGAGCAAAATTCTACAGCTAATATTTATATATTTTTTCACATGTGTTCATTTCAGTCTATTACATATTTCGAAGGCTTGACATATTTCCCACCCAAGTACTTTGACTGTAAGACCACACACAAGACTGAATTTTAGGAGAAAATGAAAATCAAACAGGTCTACAGTGGCATGTCTGTGGTTTGAAACTAAGAAATTAAGAATATTAACATCCATCGAACGCTTTGTTTTGAAAGTTGAGCCTGCTAACAAACAGGAGAAGCATCTTCTAAGTGCCTCTGGGTCTGAGCTGGCATTTCTGAATAAGCTGGTAACTTCCTTTACCGCCAGCGCCGCGGCTCACTAGGCTAATCCTCCGCCTGCGGCGCCGGCACACTGGGTTCTAGTCCTGGTTGGGGCGCTGGAATCTGTCCTGGTTGCCCCTCTTCCAGGCCAGCTCTCTGCTGTGGCCTGGGAGTACAGTGGAGGATGGCCAAGTCCTTGGGTCCTGCACCTGCATGGGAGACCAGGAGGAGGTACCTGGCTCCTGGCTTCTGATCAGCGCGATGCACCGGCTGCAGCGGCCATTGGAGGGTGAACCAACAGTAAAAGGAAGACCTTTCTTGTCGCTCCCCCTCTTTGCGGAGGAACGACACTGGACCCTGCGCTGTTCTTTTGTCTGCTCGGCCCTCCCCAGGTTTGCTGCTGGTCCTTCCCGGGTTGGCTGCCGATCCTTCCACCTCCGTGGAAGGGCGGCTCCCCCTGCCACTTTCCCCACTTCCGCGGGGGAGCGGCACACCGCCGGCCGGCTCTCTCGGGGGCTGTTCAGATGTTATCCGGATGTTCCTGGTGCATGTTGTCTCTCTCCTCCTTTATAGTCCTCTTCCACCAATCCCAACTCTGCTACCCACACGCCAAGTACACTGCTCTCCTCCAATATGGAGCAGGATCAGCTCCTTCAGGTCAGTCAATCAAATTGGCGAGAGGCAGCTGTGTAGAAGTTGTTTACTCCTCCCCAGCGCCATATTGTGGGAGAGCAGATGCATAGAATAAGTCTTAATTCCAGTAACTTAGTCTAGTCCGAGTTGCTCCCCACACTTTCTCTCTGTCTCTCTCTCTCACTGTCCATTCTGCCTGTCAAAAAAAAAAATTCCTTTCCTAGAGACCTGCAAGAGTTTGTGAGTGTGATCCAGCAGCAGGAATGGCCTGGACTTTGGCAGATCCTGCCTCAAACAGGCTTGCTCAAAAATATCTGGAAGGAAAATGTGTATAAAGTCAGAGGAAGAAATAATGAAAGAAAGGACAGGGGAGCTTCTCTTGGAAGAGAAATATATGGTGTTTGCCTGTGTGTGCATGTGTCTGTGTGTGTGTGTTTGCACATGTGCATGTCCACCTTCATACAACTCAATGCAGGGGAGGTCTAAGAAGTAGCTAGTCCAGCCTTCTGCCCAACATGTTATGATTTTTACAACCCTGTGGAGGGCTTATATAGCTAATGGTTCTGTTTAAATATAACCAGTGAGATAAGGTTCAGTATCTCACAAGGCAAATCGCTCAGTAGTCAGACAACGCTAATGGTTAGAAATTTTTATTCTTGACATTGAATGAAGATCTTCCTCATTATTTCCTCACTGATCTTAGTTCTCTTCCCTGGAGGCACATGGAGCCTATCTAATCCATCTTCCATTTGAAAATCCGAAGTGAGTGTTTGAAGGTTGTTGGAATGGTAATGATGAATGGTGATGATGATGGTGATGATGGTGATGATGGTGGTGATAATGGTGATGATGGTGGTGATGATGGTATCTTCAGTAATAGCAGCAGCTTCACATCTCTTGAGCACTCCCTGTAAGTGCTGTGCCAAGCCTTTTACATTCTTATCTCATTAATTCTCACAGCTTGATGAAATAGATACTTTTCAAGAATTTCTTTTACAAAAGAGGAAACTGAGGCTTATGGAGATGAAATATCTTGCCATGAACAGCAGGGGAGCAGGAAACAGCTGGGGTTAGGATCAGACAATGTGACCTGGACTACAGATTCCTTAGGCAGACTCCTTCTGGCTTCACATTAGTGAGTTGTCCTGTGGAGGACATGTGCAAGTGCAGGAGTGTTTTCTCAGGGGAGAATGGTGGAGCCCAGATTACTCCACTTGCTGTGATTTTCATGCAGATGTCTTTGCATGCATTCTTTTCTCAACACATCTTTATAACAGGAGCATAGTCTTAAAAATTCCTTGTGTTGGAACCAGCATTGTAGTGTAGCAGGTAAAGCTGCCACCTATGATGTCAGCATCCCATGTGGGTGTCAAGTCCCTGCTGCTCCACTTCCTATCCAGCTCCTTGCTGATGCACCTTGGAAAGCAGCAGAAGGTGGCCCAAGTACTTGGGCTACTGCACCCATGTGGGAGACCTGGAAGAAGCTCCTGCCTCCTGGCTTCAGCCTGGCTCAGCTGTAGCCATTGCAGCCATTTGAGGAGTGAACCAGCAGATGGGAGACCTCTATCTCTCCCTCTTTCTGTAATTCTTCCTTTCAAATAAATAAATAAATCTTCAAAAAATTTCCTTGCATCAACATTAGCACTCTTAGAAGCCGAGTGCGTAGAAAGTTTCCTCCCTGGGGTTACCTTGCAGTGGTCTAGTGGTTTTTCAGACTAATCTGTCACAACTGAGGTAGCGGAGTCACAAGAGTGCACTCACAGCAGAGTTGGATGGATGGCTCCCACAGAGCCCAGGTCTGGTGTCCAGTCACTGCTCCCTTAGGGTGTGTCAAACTGATGGACGGATGCGCGGGTGAATGGCCTCCCTTAGAAGACAATTCAATGTCAGGAAGCTAGAACACTTGAATCTGCTAATACAATGTTCCCTGGTGGTGGTGTTTTTAACATAATGAGTGAAGGCAAAGTCCAAGTGTATTCACCACAAAGACCTCCTGACCTTGACATCATTGTCATGTTCTGTGTGGTTTAAGCCATGTGTTCCTGAGTTTAGGGACCCAGCACCTCAGAGATACTTGTCTGCCCCCAACTAGGGTTGAAAGCAATAGAAATTTCCCTGTTTACTTTAAACACACACACACACACCATGCTATATTTTGCCTATTTTTTTTTTTTTGGTTCGTAACTGCAGACTAAATACAAATTTCTATTTCTCTGTTTATCTGATTCACTTTTGCAAATGTTTTAGGCCACGATTTCCGTTGAGAATAACTGGGGCCGGCGCCGTGGCTCACTAGGCTAATCCTCTGCCTTGCGGCGCCGGCATACAGGGTTCTAGTCCCGGTCGGGGCGCCGGATTCTGTCCCGGTTGCCCCTCTTCCAGGCCAGCTCTCTGCTGTGGCCAGGGAGTGCAGTGGAGGATAGCCCAAGTGCTTGGGCCCTGCACCCCATAGGAGACCAGGAGAAGCACCTGGCTCCTGCCATCGGATCAGCGCGGTGCGCCGGCCGCAGTGTGCTGGCTGTGGCGGCCATTGGAGGGTGAACCAACAGCAAAAGGAAGACCTTTCTCTCTGTCTCTCTCTGTCACTGTCCACTCTGCCTGTCAAAAAAAAAAATCCTTAAAAAAAAAAAAAGAGAGAATAACTGTTTGGATTTTGTGCCTTTTCATTTTTTTGCTTTGTGAAGCACCCAATCCCCTGTCGTGGTACAAAGACTTCTAACTTGCCTAGGAGTTACACCTCTGAGAAGTTTGGTCTCCTCCGCACATTAGCAGGAGTCCCTGGGACTCCGTGTTTACTAAACTCTGCACCTCGCTAACTTGAAGATTACCTTTCTGGGTAGATATTTCTGAACACCCTCTTTGCTGTGCTTGTCTGTTGATGTGATAGCCCATGTCAATGGAAAGGAAACGAAACACAGCTGACACAGTTTCTGTTAAGGAGTCAGGGGATTGCGAAGGACCAAAGGGAAGCATTTCATAGAATGCATCAGTAACTAGAATACTTGATTCTGCTAATACAATGTTCTTTGTTGTTTTTATTAACATTGTGAGTGAATGCAAAGTGCAAGTGTTTTCTCCAGACAGACATCGTGACCCGCTCATTATTGTCATGCTTTGTGTGGTTTAATCCAGCTGCCCTAGGTTTGAGGGATCCAGTACCTCAGGGGTGTTTGTCTACCACAACTCAGGAGTGAGTTCTATGTTATTCCTTATTTCCCAGGGTGGAGATGCTTGCCTTCTGATCTTGAGCAGTAGCTCTCAGAGGTCCAGGGTATTCATACAAGTCTATTTTTATGTTGCTAATGGTTTTGTTTCTGTGTTGTCTTTGCTAGGTTTGCTGGGATGGGAAACCTGCTCAAAGTCCTTACCAGGGAAATTGAAAACTATCCACATTTTTTCCTGGATTTTGAAAGTAAGTTCCAAAGATTACAACATCATAATGGAAACTTTCCATTTCTTTATAGCTTGTTGATAAAGAAGTTACAGCATAAAGATTTTATGTGATATTTAGACCAAACCCAAATGGTTCTGTGCATTCTTTCTGAGATCATTTCTGAGAACATTTTCCTTCTTTATTTTTTTTAGAAATTCAGTGGAAAATCATTTTAATGTGTCCCTGGTTTTCTTTGAATTTAGAAATAGTCAGCTTTTGCAGGCCTTGCATAAATCATTATTATGTATTTTTCCAAAAATGCTTTATGAATTAGTAAGCATAATAGTTTACACAGCTTAATATAGAAATATCACAGGAAAGAAAATAGTCACTACAAACAGAAATAGGCTGAGAGTTTCTTTTTAGTCATTTCCATCTTCTCTTTATGTATTATTTGAGTGTATAGAATCATTTTAGGGTTTTGAGAAATATTAGTACATATCCCTTATTGCTACAAGTGTGTTTCTTTTATCAAAAACTTGACAGTGTTTTCTTAGGTAAAAACAGCATAAGAATCATGACTGCATAAATAAGTAGATTCTTTTTAACTTTGTTTTGTTGATTGATTTATTGACTTACAAATAATGGACACGTTCATGTTAAATCAAACTAAATCCATATTTCCACCTTCTGTCTTGTTCAACCCTTTTTAAAATTATCATTCCCCAGTATCACATACAGTTAATGGCTTTTTCCCCAGCATTCGTCATCTGTTGCACTCTTTAATTTGCATTAAAAGTTAATTTTTCAGTATTTTACTTATATTGTATATAATAGTTGGAATTTCCTTACATGCAGATTAATAAACTTCCTAACAGAGGTTTGCTAAGTAAATACGAGAAGACTGCTCCAACAAGCAACAAACCAAAAGGCAAAAGCTCCCTGTGTGTATCTTTTCATTCTAGTCAATGTGCTTGAAATGGTTACTGGAAAAGTGTCCTGAAAGCTCATCTGCTCTTTAAAATAAGTATTTTAGATTTTATTTGAGGAAAGATGATTTAACACAGTGTGTTGTGGGTGTCGTGGCTGTTGCTGTTGGGTGTAGCTCTGTAAGGGGTAAAGCTTAGAGCTCCAGAGCCAGGTGCATTTGATCCTTGGGAAGGAACGGGCCTTTCTGATACTTTTGCTCCTCTAAAATGTACGTAAGGGCATTCTATAACATTTATGGAAAATTGGTATTAAAAGATACATTTGCTTTGGTGCAAAAAAAGAAAATTGACACCCATGTATATGAGAGGTGTCCAAAAGTTCATGAAGTGAGTATTATGCAAAAACTATGCCTGGATTTCAAAAATGTTTTGCATGAAAAATAAACGTATCTTTTAGTTCCATTTTCCATGAACTTTTTGAAGTATCCCCTTATATTTTGTTGTTGTTAAAATAATGATGCGTTAATAACTTCAAAGAAAGTTTCTAAAATAGTCTATAATCTTGCCACCCGTATTTTACTGTTTGCCTTTTTAAGTGCTCTCTATTTCTTGCCATGCCTTCTGTGCTGTTGTCTTCAGCATCTTCAAATGTCAAAACAGTGGTAAAATAATGCTCCCCTCTTTCAGGGCTGCAGAAGCATGTAAGTACTTAGAAGAGTTATGCCCTTGTTCTTTTGGGGAAGCCCTGCATTCCAAATGCACCCGTACATGCTCACATGGACCTACTAGAGTTCTGAACACCCACTTGGCTGTTATGCTGTACCTGGTTTCTTGGCTCTCTACAAAAACCAATGTTGACTTATTTGTCAATTCTAATATTAAAGTCCTTTAATTTAATTTAATAAAATCTACATGGATTACAGCAATGGTTTTCATTTAGGATCCTCTAGGGCACCAGGCATGTGAGGCTCTGCCTTGGGAGTCCCCTCCCCCACCTATATCAGGCAGGGGAGGGTTGATGACAGAGGCCTCTGTTCTTCTCTCTGCACTCTGACAGCACTGTGGTCTGTTCAGTCTTTGGACATTTCCCTAACATCCTATTTAAAGATAGGTCACAGTGGCTAAATAAAGCATTAAGAAATCTTGAATGTGGATGATGTTTATGGTATGAAAACTCCATTTGTGAGTCAACAGTTTATTCAAGATCAGGAAGTTTGCCTGGATTCTCTGTCTAGTAGCTCCTTAGTAGGACTAGAGCTATAAGATTTAAGGAAAAGACAAAACTAAATTTAGAAAAATATATAGAATTCTATTTACTTCCCCTTTCATCCCAAGGAGATTTACTTTGTTCCACTGAGATTCTGAGAAGATAACTAACTTCGTGAAGTCACACAGAGAATGGTTAGGGAGCTGCCCTTAAAAGCTCATCACAAGCCTCTTCCTAGAAGCCGTCATTCTGCCCCTGACTGCAAGGAACAACTTAGTTATCTGCAAACTAAGACCACTCATAGGGAAATAAAGTGATTTTGTTTTTTCTGATTGAAAATCCTGTTGTCTAACAGGACTTTTCAACAAAGAATGATGATGAACTAGAGGGATAGGGAGGTGGGCTGTGGTCACAATATTTCCAGGAGTCTATAGATTTAAGCATAATCCAGTAAGGGTGCTTTTACCATGGTTGTGACCATCCATGAAAGCCAGACCACATCAAGATTCAGAGTTAAGCCAGAGCAGTCATTGCCTTATAAACTCTTGGGCTAGAATGAAAGATAAGATAGGCACACAATTTAAGACAAAATAAGGGACTTAAGAGAAGCACAGTGTCTAAGGAACAGAAAGAAGTCTGATTTATAAGTTCTTTTTTAAAATATTTGTTTATATATTTGAAAGGCAGAGTAAGTGTGTGTGTGTGTGAGAGAGAGAGAGGGCTTCCATCTGGTTATTCATTCTCCAGATGACTGCAACAACTACAGCAGGGCCAATCCTACATAGTGGAAAAAAATAAAAATAAAAATAAAAAATAAAATCCTAGGGCTGGAGCTGTGGCACAGTGGGCTAAAGCCCTGGCCTGAAGCACTGGCATCGCATATGGGCGCCATATGTTCAAGACCCGGCTGCTCCACTTCAGATCCAGCTCTCTGCTATGGCCTGGGAAAACAGTAGAAGATGGCCTAAGTCCTTAGGCCCCTGCACCCACGTGGGAGACCTGGAGGAAGCTCCTGGCTTCAGATCGGCACAGCTCTGGCCATCGTGGCCAATTGGGGAGTGAACCAGCAGATGGAAGACCTCTCTCTCTCTCTCTCTCTCACTCTCTCTGCCTCTCCTTCTCTGTGTAACTCTGACTTTCAAATTAAAAAATAAATATTTTAAAAAAGAAAAAAAGGGATGATGAATTGGGTGGTGAGCTGCCTCTGGTAGCCACGGGGAGCACAGATTCGGGACTGGTTACAGTGAATACAGGGGCTGGTTTGTAAAGAGTTAAGGAGTAGGGAGTGGAGGGAGGAAGGTAGGTTGATCAGCATGTAGTCACAGCTTAAAATGAATGTGAAGCTTCTACTTCATCTCCAAGATCCTTTTTGAAGTTGTTGATGGCATATAATGGAACTGGGTCAAATAGGTGCAATTAACCTGGGTCAAAACAGAGTACAAAGTTAGACCCATCTGTGCATAAGCTTTCCAGTTGCAGAGATCTGATTCAAATTCTTGTTGACTTTTGCAACAAGTTCTACATTTTATGATGAGATTTCTCCACAATCACTTAACATTTTTCATTTCTTTATCCCTCTACTTTTTCCTTTTTCTCTATCTCCTTGTAAGGTTAGGTGACAGGAGAGAAATGAAAGACCAATTCAACCTCCTCCCTCACCTTTCATGGGTGATGATTTGAGGGAGAGAGTACAGATGGAAATATACCTGAAGCCGTGCTGATGGCTGCTCAGCCAGGTCTACTGTTGTGGCTGCTAGTGTGGTGCAGGCACCACCCATGCAATGAAGGGGTTCCTGTGCTTCCCAGGCCAAAATGATCATTAAAAATACCTGGGTCGGTATCCCATCCTAGTGTAAGCACAGCTAAGCCAAGTAACCATTCAGGTTCCAAGATCTAGAGCATGGAGTGGAAGGTTGCCAAAATAAGTAGAAGTTCAAATAGATTAAAATCTGTGCCTCTCTCTCTCACTGTCTCTTGCCAATCAGCAAACAATTTGATTTACCAAAGAGATGTTAGTAGTCATTTCTGCAAAGATAAGCAAATTGCCAGTAAGCACATAAAAACTTGTTCACTCTGATTGACCATGAGGGCAATGCAAATCAAAACTACAATGAGCTTGCAGTTCACACACATTAGGATTGTTCTAATCAGAGATAATAAGAGGTGCTGGTGAGGACCCGAAGGGCTTGGAATCCTCATACACTGATGCAGGAATGTAAAATGGTTAACTTGCTTTCCAAAGCTTCTCCAAATATAAAGTTACCATGTGATTACCTATTCTGTTCCTAGGTATATACACAAGAGAAACGAAAATGTGTGCCCACACAAAGATTCATACACAGATATTCATAGCAACATTATACATAGAAGCTGAATCACAGCAAACATCAGCTGAATATCAGCTGATGAATGGGCAAGTGAAAGTGGTTTATCCATTTGATGGACTATTATTGAACAGTATAAAGAAATGAACGCTATGCATGCTGCAAGAAGGACAAACCTTAAAATCATTAGGCTGAGGGAGAGAATCCAGTCACAAGTCACATATTCTATAACTCCATTCATAAATGTCTAGAATCCATTGCGACAGAAAGTAGATTAATCCTTGTCTAGACCTGGAGGTAAGAGAGAGGGTTATGTCCAGTGCTAGGAATATATTAAAAATTGTTGAATTACACATTTCAAATGGGTGAGTTAAACTCAACAGAGCTTTTATGCATAAGTCAAAACAAAAGATTCCTTTGGAAGATCCTTTTTTTTTTTTTTCTGGTTAATGTTGATACCATTCCATCTGCCCAAAACATATGATGTCTCTTCTTTGCTTGACTGCCAGTTTCTAAAATTTATTTTTTTGAGACATAATGCACATGCATTAAAATACATAGATCTTAAATGTCTATTTT